GATTTGGAGGAATTCCTCTCGTTTCACAGAGGGTCAGCGCTGGTTTGGAGCCACCGGAGCTCAAGCCTAGAAAATGCCACCAGGTCACCTTGGCTCCGGGGTGGCTGCTGTCCCCAAAGCCACGCCGGGGAGATTTGGGGTGCAGGGGTATGAAAAGGGGGGGTCTACCCCCCCCATTCCCCAGGGGAGCTGCCCAGCCTCTGCTGTGCTTTGGGGGCGCACCTCAAGTCGGTGTCACCATCCCCTGTGCCGGCACGCGCTCCGTGCCTCAGTTTCCCCACTGGTAGCTGCTTTTTGCTCCCAAATGTCAAGATCCACCCTCCAAAGCTCCATCTCCATCAGGGGTGGCACCTTCTCACCCCCAACCATGACCCTCCAGGACCGGAGGGGACCCCAGTGTCCCCATGGTGGGGTCACCATCCCCTCCAGAAGCAAGGGAGGAGCCCCCAGGAGCGCTGTCCCCCGCTGTCCCCCCAGGACCGGAGGGGACCCCAGTGTCCCCATGGTGGGGTCACCATCCCCTCCAGAAGCAAGGGATGAGCCCCCAGGAGCATTGTCCCCTGCTGTCCCCCCAAGGACCGGAGGAGACCCCAGTGTCCCCATGGTGGGGTCACCATTCCCTCCAGAAGCAAGGGAGGAGCCCCCAGGAGCGCTTTCCCCCGCTGTCCCCCCACCTCAAAGGTGAAGGGGTAGGCGTGCTCGCCCAGCTTCTTGATGAGCCGCTCCTGCAGCCGTGTCAGGGGCTTCTTCTCCTCGGGCAGCGGGGGGAAGGCCTGGGCGTTGGCCACAAAGAGGTCCTTGCGGAACGTCAGCCCCAGCACGTCCAGGTCCTCGCGGCCGTAGCGGAAGGCGCAGGTCAACGTCACGAAGACTGGGGACAAGGGACAAAGGGTGGGAGGTTGGTGGTGGGGGTGGTGTGGTGGCATCATGGTGTGATGACACCATGACATGGTGGCATCATGGTGTGGTGGCATCATGGTGTGGTGGTATCATGGCAGTGTGGTATCATGGTGTGATGGCATGATGGTGTTGTGACACCGTGACATGGTGGCATCGTGACATGGTGGCATCATGGTGTGGTGACATCATGGTGTGGTGGCACCACAACATGGCAGCATCATGGTGGTATCATGGTGTGGTGTCATCATGGTGTGGTGGCATCATGGCACGGTGGCATCATGGTGTGGTGGCATCATAACACGGTGTCACATTGGCAGGGGTTAGGGGGGGACATGCCACCAGGGTCAAGGGGATGTGGCAGCAGAGATGGGGGGACGCATCACGGTGTGGTGGCATCGTGGTTTGATGGCAACACGGCATGGTGACATCATGAAATGGTGGCATCATGGTGTAGTGACATCATGGTGTGGTGGTCTCATGGGATGGTGGTACCATGCCGTGGTGGAACCCCGGTGTGGTGGCGTCATGGTGTGGTGGCATCACAGCATGACATGGTGGTATCACGGCAAGGTGACATCACGCCATGGTGGCATCATGGTCTGGTGGCATCATGGTGTGATGGAATCATGGCGTGGTGACATCATGGTCCATCACAGCATGGTGACATCATGAAACGGTGCTATCAGGGTGTGATGACATCATGACATGGTGGTATCATGACATGGTGACATCACGGTGTGGTGGCATCATGGCTCATCCCGGTCCCACCAGCACCAGGAAGCAGTGGTGGCTCCCAGGAGGTGCCACGGTGGGGACACAGGGGACACAGCCTGGTGACCTGCAACATGCACCTTGGGGTGCCCAGCCCAGGACCCCCACCCAGTGCAGGACAGGGCACCCACCGTGGGGACAGGGGGCTGCAAAATGTCACCCGAGGGGCCAGAGGCGGGGACCCTGTGGTGGTGTCACCTCCGTGTCCCCAGGGACCCCGTGGGGGCCGTTACCTTTCCTCTCCTTCAGGTACTCGGGGTCCACCAGCACCACGCCGTCTGCAAGGGAACACCCCAGGTCGGGGACATGCCACCGCAGGTCGGGGACGTGCCACCACAGGGTTGGGAACATGCCACCGCAGGTCGGGGACACGCCACCATGGGGTTGAGGACACGCCACCAG